AAATAATAAAATTTCATAATTATAAAATATTATTAGAGATAATGAAATTTTAGAATATACAATCTTCTTCTTACATTAGATTCTACTCTATAATTTTTTCCAATTGTATAATTAAATTATTTTTCAAAAATATTTCTAAAGTTTTCATAAAAATACATAAAAATCTCTAATGCCGAAATAAAAACTAATTAAAATAACTAAATTTTGATTTTAAAGTAAACTAGATTATTTAAATTTTAAAAGAACTCTAATATAAGTATAGAAATAATAAGGTTTTATAATCAAAAAGTGAGGGATTGTACAGAATTAAAACTTATGGATATGTTTATTTATCATTATACCTGTATAAATTAAATATAAAGAGAAAGAAAATATCGTGAAATGATTTGATTAATAAATGTAAAAAGATGAGAGTTTCTTCACAGAAAATATAAATCGAGCTAAGAGCAATCGAGCTAAATTTGGTTTTTATGTATAAAATAAAAATAGTAGTACAAAAAATATTCTATAAATTTTATGGATCATAAAATTTTTTATTATAAATCATTGAAGTGATTAGAAGGTCCTCCTACAAGGAAAATGAATAACGATATTTTCCTATTACTTAGGTGATGCTGAAATGTTTATTCGCTCAAATTTCATATTTAATAAACCAATATATATTAAAAAGCATCACTAATCTGAAAAGAGGAGTATTTTGCATTAATGTGAAAGTAAAAAAACATTAATAAATAGGCTTAATAATTTGAAAAATTAAAATATAATCTAGCTACTATTCTTCCTTCTATAGCGATTAAATTGCATTAATTAGAGAAATTATAATTTCATTTCTATGCAATTATAATTTGATAATAATTAATGTTGATTAGTGTTAAATCTGAATCAGATGTAGGCCCTACATATATATATTAAGGTAAGGAAATATTAAGCAAATTAAGATCAGGGAAAAATATTGGTTTAAAAATTAAATAAACATTTTCCTATAATAAACAAAATCTGCTAAAATTTCCCTATTCGTATATTCTTGTAAAGCTTTAGTTGAAATACTGAAATACTGTATATATATTCTTGATTAATTCTAAAATTAAGGAAAAAATTACAGATATTTTATACTGTAGCCTATATATCCAAATTAAAAGTTTGTCAGTTTACATTATTTTAAATGTACTATTTGTGAGACTAATTTTTATAATAAATTTATAATAATGTTTTTGACTAGTGGATGACTTTTAGGTAACTGATCTTTCTGTATCTTTGAGTGATCAGAATTTTATCTGATCTGGACATCTTCAATTTTTGTGAATAATTTGGCTTGGACTTCATATACACCGATCCATCCCACTGCAGGTCAAACTTGTCCGTAATCATCAAAATTGAAGACGGCCATATGGCCCATAATGCGCTAGTCTCGAGATGAAATCCATGCCTATCAACTTACATCAGTATTTCCCAATCAATGGGTCGCGTTTCTCATGGAAATTGCAAATTGAATTCCTAGATAAGTTGATCCTGAATTCCTAGATAAGTTAATAAACATTGTTCTAGCATTTTAAAAGATCACTAATTAATATGTTCGAATGTTTTGATTTATAAGTAGGATATTATATAGTTTTTACCGAAAAGTCTTTAAAATTGAATATATAAGCAAAAATCTAAATATAATTATTCAAATATATTAACAACCATAAACTGCAGTTAATTCACATAGACAACAACACATATTATATCGATAAATTATATATAAAATCGAGTTAAAATCTCTCTCTCTCTCTCTTTATATATATAATTAATTTAATATAATTATAAAGTTGTTAAAATTGAAAATTTAATTTAATTAAAGATAAAAATGATCAAAATGTTGGATAATACACTGAAATTCTTAAATCAGGTGTAGAGAAAACGAAATTAAAATTTTCACTCTAAAGCACCGCAAGATTTAGCATGCAGCTCCTGAAGAATGTAATGAAAATTTATCTCATCCAGCCTTGAGGCATTACAACGGTGTCATAAATCTTACTGAATCACTTCACAATTTAATCAATGTTATCTATATTTATTAACTTCAACTATTTCAACTGAATATCTAAATCAGTTTTACAATTTTTTTTTCATAGTGAAGAAAAAAATCATGGTAGGTCCGATCATATATTCGGTTAGTAATTAAGTTAATAATATGATCAGTTAGTTGCTTTCATTACACGAGACGTTAGTATACAAAGACTTCACAGCCAGCCTTAATAAGGCCCGTTATGAATCTGATCCATAATCGGATCGGTCAATATGGATAAGACAGAGAAAGACGCCCGAATCCAAATAACTCAAGAAAGATTATGAAAATTTACATGAAATTTGAATTAAGATTCTTTACGGTAATAAGATGATATCATTGATAATGCGAGCAATTTTTTTACACTCTTTAAGGGATTTTTCTCATACTGTCTTATGATAATTTAATACAGTATTAATTAATTTAGATATAAATAAATTCTTGAAATTTTTCTAAATTTTACACAAAATTGCATCCTAAAAATTAATTTAGCTTCCATGCAATTAGTAACATAATTAAGTTCTAGAAAAGGATTAAGGATAAAAACATACTATATTAGGATATAAAATATTTAGACAAATATATTGCTTTATAGGACTTAAAAAATATTTGATGTGATTTAACAGTCTGCGTTAATGAATCGTCTGTAATAATGAATTGCAAATGAAAAGTTATTAGTATAATTAATTAGTATAATCTATATTAATACGGATTGATCTCAATATAATTTAACATACTTTAACATAATTCCAAAAAATAGAGAAATATTTTGAAATGTCATACACACCATAAACCATATATTGCGGCCTTCAATTTATTCTCAAACATGTAAATGAATTATATGTAAATTGATAGTTTTCGATGTATTTCGACGTACTAGTTGATGTATCTTTTAAAGAAAAATCAAATTATGAATATATTCAAATATTTAGAAAACTGATAGTTATAGAGGAGGAAAAAATGACATAAAAATAGAATTCTGATAAAAGATAAATAAAGTTTTAAAAAAATATTACGTAAGAGAAATTTTAATTTTTAAATTAGATTTAAAAAAATAAATTATCATATCTAATAATAAATCTCAACATGATTAAACACTTTTATAATACATTGTTGAGATTTAGCTATTTAGAAGTTTGATTAAGCATTTGACACTTGAAGATGAGTCTTGGAAGATGCTGAAAATTAGTGGGATATGAAGAAAGAGATACTGAAAAATATCATAAAGTTGTTCGTTATGATTATGAAAAAAATCTCACTTTTATGTCGTATACTAAACTATGATAAATACTTTATTCCCGAGTTATAACAGAAGCAACGACAGAAGTGAGATGACGACGGAAAAGAACCTCTAAATTTATATTATAGGATAAACTGATCGTAAAATGCATTAATTATGATTGTAAATGAAAAATATGCATTTTTAAGATAGTCGTTCCACTCTACAAGAAAATAATAATTCAATAAGATATTTATTATTTATAAATTTTATGAGTCACAGAAAATTAATAGTATTTTATCCTTTGAGTGAATTTCATTATTTATTCACTTAAAATAACGCTATCTCGAGCAGATAGATTTATATTATTCATTTTATTTATTTTTTAAACATGAAATATTTCTATTTATAACCAACATTGGAATCTGTAAACAGGCTTATATTTAAAACATATCCTGATGAGAACATGTTTTAGGTATAAAGGCTATTGTGCTCAATGAATTTGAGAATAATAGTCAGTTACAATAACATATTAAGATATAAATTTAAAAAACTTTTATTGCTTGAAATTAAATTAATGTTACATATATCTATGATTAACGTATATAATTATTATACGAAGTTTCTTGTGAAAACCTTTACAAATAATTATCACTTCTCCTTATATTATGAATATTTCAATTTATTGTCATAAATTCGTATTTAATCATAATTTTAATTTATAAATTAGCAAATTTAAATTAATTATTAATAAATAAAATAACGAAAGAAACGAATAAAAATATTTCTTCTTTTATTACTAAGAGAATCCCTCATGATGATGTTTACTCTGCAAAACAGAAGAAGCAGTCTGCTTTTTTTTTGCAAAGTAAACATCATCATGAACGATTCTCTTAGCAATAAAAGAAGAAACAAGATCCCGATCATCTCACATGAGAGGAAAATATTTCAGAAATAAAGTCTTCCAGACCAGAGTATGGATTATAATATAAAAATAAATTTTTCATAATACTGTATTATAAAAAAAGAATATTTATAAATATATTTACTTCACTTGTTTTATATTATATATTTTTTCCTTTCTTCGAGTGTAGAAAAAACATTTTATATCAATTTTTACCGATATTCAATAGTAATGATCCCTGTTATTAGTTTTATTCTATCTGATCTTATATATAGTATTAATAAAATTTTAAAAATAGAAACTATTTCAATTGACGATCCACTTGAATACGTTTAACAGAATGCTATTTTCTTTAATCCGTAACCAATTTGTTAACGTTTCTTCAGTCAGTTCAGAATGAAAACATCGAATGAAAGTTTTAAATTTGTTCTTTCAACTTTTTAAAATCTATATATAACTCATCTTTCTACAGTTGCTTCTGGTAATATCTGTTGATAGTAGTCAAATCCTTATAACTTTTTTGACTCGGAACATTTTCTCACAAGCAGGAATAATTTTCAAGTTTTTATTATTATGTAAAGTTATAAATAATTTATATTTAACATTTAAAAGATATTTTTTATTTTATATTTAATATTTTACAAAATATTTTTCTTTAATATAACCACATTTTTTTCCACGAACGTTTGGACATTTAAGAAGTTTTATATTGGATTTAATACTAGACTATACAGAACTTTTCTTTGATTGAAAATACATCATATTCACATGACTGTATTAAATATACAGTTAAATATTTATTATATAATATTTAAAAATGTTAAAATAAAACATTTAACTAATTTTTAATGTAAAAAAATTATTTTTAAAAAGCGTTTAATGTATATAAAAATAGAAATTTTGTTGTTTTATTATACAAATTATTCAATAAAAATTAAATGATTATCATTTTATTTTAATTAAATCAGTGAAAGACATTTTATAATACTCGCATATAACATATTACTTGATAAAAAAATAAATAAAAACTTAATTAAATTAAGTTTAAGAAATAAAACAAACATTTTTTAAAGGAAGAAAGTGGTATATAGAAATAAAATTCTACTGGATATTTAGAGTTGACGGTATTCTGAATCGTATGAAATTTCTACACTTCGTGGATTTTGAGACACACAGACGGACGAAATTAAATAAAAACAGCGAACGATATTTTTCCAAATAGCAAGTTATATTAGAAAAATATTTGAAAATTATATATACAGTATATATATATTTAAACTATACAAAAAATCAATTTAATTCAACGTTGACAATTTATAATCTTCAAAAGTTATTACGATTCTATTAAAATCTTAAATTATGATGTAAAATTTTATTTTGTTACTAATGATTTTAGAATTAAAATGTCTTTTTACATTTGTTAAGCAAAGATATTTTTCATTTATAAATTGTCGAAATTAAATTAAATTAATACTTCAATTAATATTTTAATTATAAATAATTATTATTTCTATTTAATAAATAATTACGTTTAATTTAATTCGAAAATTTTATAAAGAAATATTTCAATGTAATGATAATTAAAGATTAAAGAAAAATCTTTAAAATAATTTCTCCGTCAGTTATTCACTTTTTTAATGGAATTTTAATAAAATAAAATTGTCAATAATAAGAATTTTATTTAGTTTTTTGGCCTTGAAGAAGCAGCCATTCTTAGCTGTATATAAAATATTTAAATTAGCTATTAAAATAATTTTTTTCATATCATTAAATAAATTTTAATAATAATTAATATAATGTATAATAAAAATAGGCAATAAAAATATATTTTAAAAATTATGTACTTCATATAATACATTATAAAAAATGTTAAAATAAATTTTTAATTGGTTAAAACATCTAACAATAACTTTAATGTGTATGCATTTTTTATTAACTTTTTAAAATTTTCTTTTTTTTTTTCTTTCTTAGCATTAAATTTGAAAAAACTCAATCCAAAGTTTTAAATTAAATCTAATATTTAAATATTTCAATTTATAAAACTATTCATTTTAACAGAAATTTAAAATGATTATTCATTAATAAATTAATTAAATTTTAGTAAAAAGTAACAATTTTATCTTAATAACAATAAAACTCAGATCAATTATAACATTTTATATTGAAAATATTTTAGAAATAAAGAGCAGTTGTTTCTAAATCTATAATCATATAGTTATAATATGTATAACAAAAATTCTATTAATATTTTTAAGACATGTCATTATAAGAAAATTCTTTTTCCAATTATAATTTTAAAATAAGTCATTAGATATTCTTAATAATTAATTTAAAATATAACGTTTTACAAATAAAATATAGAGACAAAAGAACAGTTACGTAATGCCTTTCGAAGGTAAAGCATCTTGTGAGTTTTAAAATGTCTAACATAATGGAATATCATTCAAATTCTTGAGAAAAAAGAAAAATGACATTAAACAATTCCGATGTTACAATGTTGAATAAATCTCTGTTTCAACAGATCGTTCTTTACATTCGTATATACTTACGCCGACTCTCCTAAAGAGATTTATAGTCAATCGCTGCATTGTTCATCTTCAACAAAATCAGATTCTAAGAGGCAAATCTCGAAAAGACAGATGAGGACAAGATCTATTTTCTACATACGCCAACGTAAGTTATTTGTTTTGTGCTTTTTACACGTCTAAAGCAGGTTTTTACTCACTAGAAGTGTTTATACTGGCTAAAAGCACAGGTCTAATAACTTACTGTATTTTAAAAAGTGATGAAAGGAAAATAAATAATTACTCTTCGGTTTATTGTTTTCTTTTCTCTGTGTATTATAAACAACGTTTTTTTTCAACTCTAAAATTAAAATTCAAATTAAAGTAAATCCAGATAAATTCTTCTTCAGTTAAATTAATAAGCTACGTGAAAACATCGATAGTATTTATTTCATTTATATAGTTCTGAAAGTTATTTTCCAAAACTTAAAAAAAAGTATGTAAATAAACATTATCAAATAAAACTTTAATTCAGTTTTGAAGTAAAAATAACTAATAATAAGTTTTGAAGTAAATAACTTACCTAACAACTTTACTCGTATACTTTTAATTATTATATTATTTTGTTNACAAGAATATTTTTCCTTCAAATGTAAAAAAAAAAGAAAAAATTATTCATTTTTCGGTCTAGACATTTGACTTTCTTTATAAGTCTAGACTATGAAAAACGTTTTTCTTCCAATTTAAAATAATAGAGAAGATAAATACTTTAAATTGTTAAAATTTTCCTTGAAAATCCCTAAATAATTTTTACTGAAAGAACAGTAAATTCAATTAAATGAGAATTAAATGTATACAGATTTTTTCTCCTTTCTTTTATAATGGAATTTCGACTTATTCTCAGTTGATTGAAGGGGAAAATAAAAAATAAAAAGAAAATTCCATAATAGAATTTTCGGTAAGCTAGTGAAAATAATTGCTCAATCTGAACCTCTTGAAATTAGTTTAAGCAACTGACATCAACAGTGCCAGATAATTGATCCAGAAAGAATTAATTGTTCTACACTTTGCGCATATATTGCGTTTGCATGACCACATTCGAATGTCGTTGACTCATATAATATCAGCGCCCTCTGGTTATTATAATTGCAAATTTTTTTATCGTCTACTCGATAAATAATATTATAGAATATTATACAATACATATATGATTTCGTCCATTAATTCTGTAATACTATAAATTTATTATTATAATTATTAAT